ACTGAAGAAAAGGGGATCACGAAAGTCGAACTCTGATTATAAGTGTAAGGGTACCTTCACTTCATGTTAACTTGTACACTTTATCATGTTAAAGGACTCACAGAAAAAAACGCAAGACGACAAACTGAGAGTGTAGATAGCACTTTTCATGTTCGATTATCCATTCATTGAATTGAACCAAGCTAATTAAGATCCAACTAAACAACTAGCTATAGTACTCAATTAGGTATAAATTATAATTAGGAGATGATGATGATGATGAGAAGTGGGAATTGGGGGGAGCAGTTCAAAAGGAATAAATAGATAGTAACCCTAATAATTAAAAAATTGGAAAATCTCCACCACACCATTTGTCTACTTGTGTGTGTAGTAGCAGTTATTAGCTGGTGCTTTTTTGTATCGGAGACGGCCAAATTAAAACACGTCCTGCTGCGGCATCTGATGGCATTTTACCTTTGACCATGTCTCTGAAATGATATCATCAGTGCTTACTGCTAAGACCACAGAGACGGCTACTTTCTTCCTTCTTGTTTTATAATTAACCCTCCAAGTCCAAAGAATTATTCATCATGATCATCATCAAATTAAATGTGCAATTATAATAAATATTAATATTAATAATTGATTACATGCAAACAAATCTTGGACAAATGGAAGATTAAGAGGGCGTCAGTGACAGCAACGTGAGTGCTGTATGTTTAGTGCTTGCACTGCCAATTCAATTCTGATTAGCCATTATAAAATAAAATATGTGAAGTGGGTTTTGCAGATACGATCCAAATTATGTCTGTTTCTTCCTGGAATTGGAATTTCCAATCAATGTATGGTAGGTTCAAAAACTTAGCTTCAATATCGTGGCTCAACCAACGATTTAGAGTTAAATTTCACTTTTGGTCCTTATAATGTGTTCGAATTTTCGCTTTAATCCTTGTATATTCAATATTTGTTATCTTTTTGGCAATTTAAGAGCACGTTCATATTTTTGCCCAATCGCTAAACATAAGTGGCACATGCTTATTGCGTGTGCCTCTACTCTGTCTTGCCTTTTTTGCTTGGTCCCGGGAATTCAGCCTATGGTTCCAAGACCTACCCGTAGATTAAATGCTAGTTGGTCACTGAGTTTGAGACTTGATGTGATTCAAAACAAAAGGAGACAAATTTGTAAGTGAGATTTGTTGAAAATGATTGGGGTGAGGAAAGGAAGAAAGGGACACACAACGCAAAAGAAACGGAAAATTAGGGTTGGGCCAGTCATAGAAGGGGGCCAAAATATTTGGGCCTAAGTAAGGGCCTCTATGTAAACAATCCAATGAATTCTTGTAGAAATGTGCACACATTTGGATTTTCCTATTGCAATATTTAAGAACTTGTTCTTGTTATATAAATTTCTTTTCTTAAATAAAACCAAAACCACAATTTCTTGTTATATGCATACTTCATGCATGTGATCATATATATAAATTCTCTTATACGGATGTTTGAATTTACCTCTGAACGTTATGACCGTGTATTCCATAAGGAAAATTAAAATGTTGATGTGGCTGACTATGCCTTAATTCCTTTATGCCATCACACCATGGCCATTTCTCTCTTCACTTTCACTAAAACAGCCACCTTTTCAGCTTCTTCATAATCCTATAGGTCTCCCTTTCTTCTTGTACTTTCATTATGCTATACATGTGGGGGGCCCCTCTAAGTCTAAATTATTTTCCCTTTAGTTTCCTTTGTGGTTTTGGTTTTATTTACATTATGGCATGCAATAATTTGCTAGTTAGGGTTAAGCTACTTCCCTACTCTCTCCTTGATCCTAATTTAGTATAGCTTGTTACTCTTTTTCTCTTGCATATATATATATACATATTTTTAATACATAGAATCTTAGTGATATTAGGTCTTTGTCATGTGACCCCATAAAAAGGACAGAGTGAGCTAATTAAAAGTCGACTCTTATGAAAGTTTGAAATTGAAACCAAGTGTTCAAAGTCTCATAAGAAGAAATTAAATAAAAAAACAAGTGATTAAGATAAGTTTGATACGAAAACTGTCCATAGACGCAAACCTCTTAATTTGATAACAAACAAAACGAAGAAAACAACAATATCATGTCAAAGATTTAGCTTGTTTCCTTTCTCAATGTTTGATATTTGTAAATACCCTCCCTCCCACAGCCCATTACCCATAACTTCTCACCGTAACCCCCTCATTATAGCATTTCCGGGAGCTGAAATCCTTGTGATGGGCCAAGGCTGTACACTGCAAGGCCTAGAGAATTGGGGACTACAAATTTTGTACTTTGGGCCCAATTAATCGGGTCGGGTTCTTCTTAGGCAAGCAAAGTCTGTAACTTTAGAGAGAGATTGAGCTTCAATTCATAGAATGATAACAACATGACGTGATGTTCACATACTAGTAGCTGACTGACTTTAAACTGAGCACAGCATGTAATGAAAATATAAATGAGAATGGGCATGTGCTCTCTCTCTTCTTCAGTTATCTTCCATTCACTTGGACCTCAGGGTTATTATTAGGTAGGGCACTCAATGTGACCAATATTCCTTTGTCATCCAACCATCTAGGATTGAGCATAAAGAGAGAAGTAAATTTGGTTCCGATACTTCAAAAGCACAAAATATATCTGAAAATAGTCAGGGCTGTTTGATACTGCTTTTATAGAAATTGATCATATTAATAAGCGCTTCTAACAAAAACGCTTTTATTAGAAGGACATTGAAATTTTTGTTGAAACTCATAAGAACTTTCAAATTGTTCTGCACAACACAGTCAAAAATGCTTTTGGTTGTCAAAAAGCGCTTTTAACCATTCTAGACTTCTAGAAACACTCCCAAACATACCCTTAATATGTAGATTTTTTTAGTAGAGTTTACTTTAAAACACTATAACTTATACTATTACGTGAGTCATAATAGAAAAAAGTAAAAATTAAACTTAGTATGACCAAGTAGGACCAACATCAACCTAAGTCGGGTTCAACATATAAGATAATGTGACTACGATACTGTTTTAGATTATGAGCATTCAATTCAAAATGAATTGACAATAAATAGAGAAGTCCAAAATCTTTTCAAGCACTTATACAAGATTTCCATTATCTAATGTGGGATAAATACTCTCATGTACATCAACTGATTTCAAACTAATATCTTTTTGGTTACCAGCATGAGCAATTAATATTTGATTTTATTTGTTGGGGGTTTGGGAATGTCTTTGTAGCTACGTGGTGATCAATTAGTTATAACCCTTTTTTTTTTTAAGGAGAAAGCGTATGGGTGTGATATATACTACTTGTTAGTTTAGTTGGATCTTTCCCCCTTTTTTTTTTTCTTTCAAGTGCTTCTTTTTTAAAACTATTTTGAATTTTGTTATTATAATAAAAAAGAGTAAGATTACAAATAGATTGACATCATTGAGACTCGAACCTAGCCTTGTACAAAGACATGCGCTGGAAACCAGCTCCACCAAATGTACTTATATGTCAATGAGCTGCACACTAAAGTATATATACAGTTTATATAATATAAAGTAAAATTTTTTAAGAGTCCTGTGCAGTGGAACCACCTGCATCATGCCTCTTGTTCCTGACTGATGAGTGCTATGTTTGGCTAAGAGTTTGGGGTGGCCCAGTTCGCTACAATAGTTTGAACTGACCAAAAAATTTCATTCCATGTAAGGGAAAAGCCATCATACCATTTGACGCCCTGACATTGTCGGGAACATGCAATCCATCAGGTTTTGGGAAAAGCACCAAATGACCCACCACACCACACCACATACATTTCCATTGACATTGCAAGTCTTTTGTATTTATGCAATCCAAGACATCAATTTCAATATATGATAGAGATCGCTACCATGTTTTAATTCCCATGCCACTTTTTCATTTTCATTTTTTTCTTGTTTTTGGCTCTCTATACTATTAGCTATCATCACCCATTTTGTTTTTCTCTTAAAGAAAAACAAAATTACATTGACAACCCAAGATTGAAAACTTCCCAGAAATTTTTATGTTACATGAATCATCATGCATGCATATGTAAACTTCCCAACTCATACAACCTTTCGTTGCATGGAATAGATTAATTTGGAGACAAATTAGATGATGGGTTCTATTGTGTATTATTATTAATCTCTCTCTCTCTCTCTCTCTCTCTCTCTCTCTCTCTCTCTCTCTCGCTGAGGTAACTGGTGTGGAACGATTAGATAGCTTGTAAGTGACCTAGGCCGGATATGAAAACCACTTATGCTTTTTTCATTACATCCTTCAAAGAGTACTTAATAAGAAGAACTGCGTTGGTTTTCTTTTAATATACTTATAATTATTAGAGCATATTATGAGTAGAATAATAATCCCAACATATTTAAAGCTTTCTCCTGAGCCATTTACGTTCTCTTATACAATTAAACCAACTGTACTACGTGTTGTTAATTTGTTAAGTTACAGTTAACCTAACAAGTTCCACAAACCAACAACGAATATAACTAGAAAGACAAAAAAAAAAGAAAAAAAAAAAAAAAAAAAAAAAAAGGAAGAAAAGAAAAAGAAGAGAAGATTCCTGGACTCTCTCTCTCTCTGCCCCTTCCCTTTCTAAATGGAAAAAAGAGAAGACATCAGTCAAAGTTCATAACTCAGTCATGCATCAAACTACAAACTTCTATAATTAATGTGACTGGCCAGCTGATTTTCCCCGAGCTAGGAAGCAAGAAATAAAAAATATATTCAGTTTTGTTAAGTCCTCATGAAATGATCGATGAAGTAATATGCTTACAATAGAGGATTACATGCCAAATATATATGTTGTGGGAATACGCAGTTTGACAACGACCATTAAGACAACTAAATTTAACTAATATTCTCTTACATTGAAGCATCTCCAAAATTAACATTTCTTTTGCCTCTTCATAAGTTGATCTAAACCAAGTGAACATACCTTCTTAACTAAAAGGATGCTTGAAAGTGTTCATCACTAGCTAGCTAGTGAAAGCTAGGGGTATCCTAATCGAAGCTCCAAATCCAAGTCCTCCTTATTTGTGTCACCAAACATACCAATCTCCAAGTCCAACCTAAGAATTTGATGAGGATCGGCTGCCTTCTTCAAAGTCTTTATGCACCCATCTTGATCTTCTTGTCCAACCCCACACAAAGATTTTGCACCCTTCAATTTAGTACTTAAATCCGAAGCTTTGAGGTTTAAAGGATGATTAAAAAGGGTGCCTCCCACAACCCATTTCATATTTTCGCTAGATGGTACCGAAAATATAGGTGGTGGAGGAGGAGGAAGTGGAGGTGATATCAAAGAGGGTAGTGATAATGAGCTACTAAATGGTGATACCAAAGAGGAAGATGATGGTGATGATGTTGATAAGAAATTAGGGTTAGGGTTAGGTTTAAGGTTAAGGTTAAAAATGGTACTAGTGTACTGACCATCTATTGGGGGTGAGTTTTTCAGCCTGGCTCGGTCTTTCCTGTGAACATTCATATGGCCCCCCAAAGCCTGAGCAGATCTAAACTCTCTTTTGCAGAAGCTACACGTGTAAGACCTTGGAGGCCATGAGAACCCATTGATGTAGTCTTCTTCACAGCTTTGGCTGCAGTGGATTATTCTTTTGTTGTTCGAATCTCTAATGGCTCTAGTGACAATACCATGGTCTTTCAAGTTGTTGCTCAACCTGTTCTTCTCCATACGTGTATGCTCTGATTTATCAGCCAGGCTTAACACGATCAAGAAGATCAAGACACAGAAGTCTAGCTAGGTGGCACAAATCATATATATCAAGTTAAAGTTTTAATAACTCAAGAAACTGCTGCTGAATTCAAATCAGCTCAGTTATTTGAAAAGTTTTTAATCACTAGAAATGAAAGTGATGACGGACTTACAGCAGAGGGGAGGAACGAAGAGATTCGGACCAGCCAATATATGTAGATCAATTGTCTAGAGAAGAGTCCAAGATCGTATTGAAATAAAAAGTCAAGAAGGAAATTTCTGACTCTCCAAGCTTTGAAATAGAGGAGAAAATGAAATCTCTCAAAAGTTGTGGAATCATGGAAAGAGAAAGAGATTATATAGATTGAAAAAAGAAAAAGAAAAGAAAAAGAAAAGAAAAATAAATAAATGGGAGGTGACTGACCTGGGAAAAATGGTGATGATGGAGTATTGGGCTTTGAGTCTCAGAGAGAGAGAGAGAGAGAGAGAGAGAGATTAAAGCTTCTGTAAAGGCCATCAAATTTGTAAACGAAAGACTGAAAAATCTGATTGGATGGTACCCCTGAAAGTGTACCATATGTTTGGTCACTACTTACTATACGTCGAACCAAAGTCTGCCAGGATTATACCTTTTTGCCAAATCTAGCTTTCAGTGTTTGTGGATGCTATTAATTTGTATCTAACTTTATCATATATATTGGCTTCGTACGTGATCAGCTTCACCACATGTCTCAATTTCATTGGTCAGCAGCTGGGAAACTTCAATGACTCGACTATTGATAGTACATTAACTTATTACCAAGCAAGCTCTAAAGACCTATTACTCTGAAATTAATATTAATTAATCATCATCATGAGCTCAAATCTCCTTATTATTATGCTCGGTAGATGCACTACTTCCCAGAAAACCAAATGCCCTTTCCAGTCAAGTAATTTTTGTTGAAATGGACGAGGGTAAAAGTCTGATCTCATTAATTTCACAAGCATGTGAATGTTATTGGTTCTTCTCAGTTATTCATCATTAGTCATTTATGGACTCATACTTGGGTTTGATTTCCATAATTTGCATGCATGCATCATGCATGGTGCGTTTACTGCTAATCATCTCGGCAAATTATAACATAAAGAAATGGAGGTTAGTATTCTCTTTTAAGAGAAGTACAAGAAATACTCTTTGATGTTTGTAAACTTCTTCACATTTACACAGGATCATATTTTCTAAAACCACATTATATAGTTGATAACATTACGTGATAGTGTCTATTAACAACTCGCTCGTCATAGTAATTAATTAAATTACACTCTGTGATTAACTAACGTGGTTATAAAATGTGATCATCCCTTTAGCATTACTAATAGAATGTTAGGAACTTTATTACAGAGAAGATTTTTTTACCTCAAAATCATCTTCTTCTTGAAAAAAATACATAGGAAAAAAACCTTTTTGAAATTTTCCTGTCCTCTTGGTTAATTTTCGGTTTACATGCGCATGTTGCACTTGGAGCTAGCTAGCTATATGGTTGGTTGATGACAAGTGGTAGGTTGAGTTGCTAAACTGCTTTACATGTTGTTGCCAGATATTTGTTTTCCTTTCAGTTTAAAATACAATCAAATTTAAGAGAATGCATTGGTTTACACACCCCTCAATGCCTCAAAGGAAAAGAAATCTGAGTGTACCCAAATTTCTCCTTTGCATTTTGTGGCAAAAAAGGAGTGAAAGTTTTATCAGAGAACCCACATAGCCAAAAGATCCTACCAAAAATATGAGATTTAGTGAAAGACCCAATGGCCAATTGAGCGACTCCATGGAATGCTAAATATGGTTTGTGATTGCTATAAGGTTCTAGAGACTGAGTGGCAGGGTTTACCCGCAGTGCACTCTGGTGCCGTCTTCTCCACTCATAGTTTTTTTTTGCAGCTGCTTGATATTTGGACCAGCCAATCACAACTTTGTGTGGCATTAATTAATGTGATTTTTTGTTGTTGATAAATTACCATGTTTATGTATCAGAATTTAGGGCACTGAGAAAATAGACGAAACATGGACTATATATATAGAGGCCCTCTTTGGGCTTGATTTTCTGTCAGTCACCATAATGCTAATTGGTGAGAATCGTTAGGGTTTTCCATTGATTGCTGTCTCATCAGACTTGAAATCCTTGAACCCGTCTCTCTTGTCTCAATAAAGAAAAAAACAAAGAAAAAAGACAAAGCTCCCATCACATACACACTCTCTATCTGTCAAAAGACTCAAAACTTGTATTATATATAGGAATTTAACAAGATAATTAATTAATCAGGGAGATTTTCCAATAAGGATTTAAGGTAAGGATTAGTTTCATATTTCTAATTTCGACCGTTGGATTGCATTCATTAGATGTGTTGATGGATTTAATATGCAACATACACAAATCATGTATGTTGCACACATAAGTGATTGACCATTTCATCTTCGTAATTAACCATTGCAAACCATTTGCAATATGATGCTAATTACACAATTAACATACACAAGTCATACATTTATGAATAATATTATTTTTACCACATTTGTATACCATATTCTCATACCACCTTATGTGTCAGATGAGGTGGACAACCACCACATCAATTAGAATTAATTTAACATTTTCTTTTCTTTTATAATTTATTGACACTTTTTAATTGATTTGACTATCTACATCATCTATTACATAAAATGATATAAGAATGTAATAAGAGTAGCATTACTCTACATTTATTGGTTGGTTAATTTGAAAATTATTCGGTTAGTGTTTTTGAGGAAGCACTAGTCACTACTACATTTTAGTCTTTGCGCGACGAAAGGGTTTTCGTCGCGCAAAAACGATTTTAGTCGCACATCATTATGCGCGACAGAATATTCGTCGCGCACAATCCGTCGCGCAAAGGTCGTGAAGAAAGGATTTGCGCGACGAACAAATGTCATTCGTCGCGCAGTTTGCGCTACGTATAACATCTTCGTTTCAAAAAACATTTCGGGACGACCTCATTGTCCGTCGCACAAATATTTGCGCGACGAACCAGAGGTCGTCGCAAAAAAAACTGCGCGACGGAATTGTCCGTCGCGCGAACTACATGAACCTTGCGCAACGACATCTTATTCGTCGCGCATACACATCTTGCGCGACGAAATTACTCGTCGCGCAAGATTAAGATATATTTAAATGTTTTTTGCGCGACGATTTACGTTTCGTCGCGCAAAAGCAATATATATTATTAAAAAAAATTTATTATTATTTGATTTTTAATTTTGTAAAAAATAAATGTTGTTTTTTTTTAATTAAAATGAAATTACAATTAAAAAAAATTAATCGTAAAGAAAACATCTATTATATAAATAAAATAAATGTATACAAATTGTAAAATAAATTATAAAAATAACAAACTAATCAAATAATGTTCCGAAATCTAATTGGTCATCTGCCACATGCGGCTCGGAGGTATGCGGCTCGGAGGTATGGGCGTCTGCAGGGGCCGTGGTGTGCTGGGGATGCTCGGGCTGGACGGGCTCGGAGGTCGACGCACCAAAATTCGGGATTGGAATCCCGGACCGCGCGAGCGACTGCAGAATCACCGACATCTGACCCTCAAGCTCGGCAACCCGCGATGTCAAAACAGTCACCTGACTGTTTGCCTGCGACGATGACCGCGGTCGAGGTTCCCTCTGTCGGGCATTCCCCATCCCCCTACAATACGTTCCCGGCCTCCTCCCGAGAGTCTGATCCAACGTCTGCGTCAAAATCTGAAATCCAGCATCATGCGGAGGATCCACAGACTCGATCGGAGTCTCGGGAGGAAGTTGGGAGGCGGACTCTTGAAGAACCAACTGGCTCCTCTCCACCATCGTCGTCTGTTTAACATTACATAAAATATAAATTAAAAAATGCATATAAATTGAAAGTGTAACATAAGAATTAAAAATACATAATACTTACATGAAGGGACTCGGCCAACTCATCCCCAGGTCGAACATAAACGTCACCAAAGACGTCGATCTCTGGGAATTTCGACCCCCCCCTTAATTGAACAAGAGAAGAAAATATTAGTATGAACAAAAGAAATTAATAATAATGACATATTAAAAATTAAATATAAATTATATTATTCTTACCCGACGCCGTGCATCCATCCTATATGAGAAGGGCCTGGAGCCGGAATGGTGAAGAAGAGTCTTCTTCTTCCTATTGCCCTTATTCACTTGGGCTTTTTTCTGTTATACAAAAATAAAACGTAAGAATTGAACTATAAATAAATTAAATAATAATGAGATATAAAAATAAAATAAACATTAAACAAATATTATTAAAAAATACCACATAATCGGGCGCCTGAAAATGAGCGCAGAGCCACGCCCAACTATCCTCCCGGCCCTCAAGCTCCTTCGGGCAACCCTCCTGAAGAGCGACTTCCGGATCATCAAAGGCCTGGAAATGGTGGTGCAAGTCGCTCTTCCACTGCTTGTACCTCTCACCGAAGAGTCTGTTGACGTACGCCAAAGTCTCCTCGTTGAGGTCCTCTAAGTCGTAGTTCGTCTGCAATAAATTGATTACATACATTAAGTAATAGAAATATATAAAGTTTGAAAGAAAAATAATTAAAAGATAGGAAAAATACCGACAACTGGCCGCGAACTTGCATCTTGATCTCGTCAGGTATGACCTTCCAAGACTTCCATTGCATCGGGCAATGGGTCCGAACGACGTGGCCAATGTCGTGGGCCAAGGAGCTATGCAAGTCCGCCGTCGGTGCAGCCCGATGGCGCTCGTCATATCCGATGCTGATACGACTGTTGGTCACCCGGGTGACCTTCGCCGTCTTCAGCTGCCGACACGGCCCTCGGGTGTTCCTCTTGGCTGCAAAGGGATAGGACAATATTGTTACATATACAATCAAATTGAACCATCAAATTCCCAATTAAAAAATGTTAAACAAAAAATGAAAGGGAAGGGTATTACCTGTAGGTGCCCCCGAGGCACCAGTACAGTCAGTGGATGTGGTGTCGGTGGTGGTAGCGGGCCGGTGTCGCCGCCTAGCGCTAAGAGGCTGCACCACCGAAGAAGATGATGATGCAGCCGCCTGGGATCCCCCAGGACCAGCTAGCACGTGGTCCTGCTCCATCAGTGCTGGAGCAGTGGCAGCTGATACCGGCTGAGCCGGGGCTCCGAACTCGGTGTAGCCGTCACCGCCCTACGACGTCTAATCAAGTCTGACATCTGCACAATTTCATTAATCCAATGTAGCACATACAATGTCAGTAAAAAATTGAACTAACTAATTAAAATCATAGTTTGACCTAGGGTTTGCGATTTCGGAGTATCCGGGACTCCGATCCACAATCCGTCGATTCCTAAACGATCCTATAAATACATGGTACCACATACGTGAGTTTCAGCTCGATCCAACGGTCCGAACATATCAAACCCTAAAATCGCACAATAGGTTCAAACCGTTCGAGACTCAAACGATAACCAAATTCCAATCCGAGCACACCTACGCGCTCGTGACAACGAAATGTTTGCACTGGGACAAAAAGCCCTATGCCACAGTACCCCACGCGCCACCACACGCGCCGGCAGCGCGTGGGTGCCCTAAGAGATAACGATCCCCGGAAATCCTACAAATTAAGGGGCAAGGTTCCTACCCTAGGTTTAAAACATCAATTGGAGCCACTTTTGTTCTCGGACCTACCCCGAAAACGGACGGAAGTGGCCGGAATTTGAATTTCAAAACCGGCCGAAACCTAGGGTTTCAAATTGACTACCCTATGCACACAATCAATCAAATCCTACACAACCATCAGCTAGAGCATGAAAAATAGGCCAAAAGCATACCTCAATTGCCGGATTTGGTGCCCGGAGGAGAGAGAACAACGGCGGCGGAGATTCGGGCTAAACCGAGCAATTCACGGCGGCAGGATGGACGGCCACGGCGGAGAAGCTCCTGGGTTCGACGGTGGCGGCGGCAAGGTCTGATTTGGGGCGGATTAGGGGCTGAGGTCACGGCGGAGAGATTTGGGAGGTTTTAGGGTTAGGTTTCAGAATTTGGGGAAGAAGGAGAAGATCGCGATTTTCAGAAAACTTATTCGACTTTGCGCGACGAACATATATTTCCGTCGCGCAAACGTCATTAAAATAACCCTTGCGCGACGAAAACATTAACTTTTCGTCGCGCAATGTTATAAAATTGGACCTTTGCGCGACTAGAACAACAAATTTCGTCGCGCAAACGTGTGAACAGATATACCTTGCGCGACGAAAAAACTACTGTCGTCGCGCATACTTGTGCAGCCGCCCAAATTTTGGGATTTGATTTTGCGCGGGAAAAAATCAATGCAATGCGATTGCGCGACGAATACCAATTCGTCGCGCATGCTAGCTGTTCCAAATAAAGTTTGCGCGACGACAGTCTCGTGATTCGTCGCGCAAACTGGCTTTTGAAAAAAAATTTCACTAAGTGTTGGAGCGGAGAGGGAGGGAATTTTTTTATTGATTTTGCGCGACGAATGGACTAATATTCGTCGCGCAAACTGGCTTTTGCAAAAAAAATTTCACTAAGTGTTGGAGCGGAGAGGGGAGGGAATTTTTTAATTGATTTTGCGCGACGAATGGACTATATTCGTCGCGCAAACTGGCTTTTGCCAAAAAAATTTCACTAAGTGTTGGAGCGGAGAGGGGAGGAAATTTTTTTATTGATTTTGCGCGACGAAGGACTGATATTCGTCGCATAGGTTTGCGCGACGCGTAAGCGTATTCGTCGCGCAAAACCATACCCTGTACCCTAAACCCTAAAACCTGTACCCTAAGCCCTAAACCCGAACTCCTGAACTAGTTTCAATGATCCAACCGACAATCTTCTTTTTTCATAGTTCAAGATCGTATACGTCAAAAATCATAATGAATGAACATTCAGAGATTGAGTAACGGGACAAAACGTTTCGACGGTTCTAAACAAATTGTCCCGATTCAACGGTGATTTTAGCTCCGATCTTGAAAATTTTTACAGCTGCGGTTCTTGACCCTATATGAATACAGAGATGTAATTCGATCTTCAATTTCAGATATTTACAGTACAAGACATCACATAATCTTATGTTAGACTGAAGGAATGTATAAAGAAATTATTCAGTTTTTTATGAATATTGTGTTTTTATGGAATACGCATTCTAGGAAACTAGTTTCAGTAATCTAGCCGTCAAATATGTTTGTTTATACTTCGAGATCTTATACGTCAAAAATGAGAAAAAAAAAACATTCAGAGCTCAAGTAACGGGACAAAACGTTTCGACGGTTATAAACGAAAAGTCATGATTTAACGGTTATTTTGACTCTGATTTTGATGATTTTTTAAAGCTATACTGTTTAACCCTATGTGAATACAGTGAACTACTTCGATCGTCAATTTCAACTATATACGTGTGTATATTCAGAAATATATATATGTATATGTTTGCGCGACGAGGTCTGTTTTTCGTCGCGCAAAAGCACTTGCGCGACGAAATTATTTGTCGCGCAAATAATAGAGTATGCGCGACGTGTACGTTATCCGTCGCGCAAAATTGCGCGACAATTATGCCTTCGTCGCGCAAGATTATTTCATTCACATATTATTAATCTGAAGTATTCATCATTACATATAATTAATTGTATGAAAGTATGATTTATTCTATTTTCTTTCGATTTGAGAATGGAAGGATTGTTGATAATCTTATGTTCTTTGTATTCATTTTTTCGGTTATATGGTTTTCATTTTTTAAAAGTTTTTTGTGAAAATAAATTTAAACTTTATGATACAAATTAGTTGGCTATATTTATTTACCAATGGTTTATAACTACAATTATTTTAATAATGTTTCACTTGGTATCATATATAATGTTTGGATATAACAAGTACATATATGAAAACATTTGCATTACACAAAATATGTCCACTAACATAATAAAATTACAAAAAAAATTAATCATTCATCATCTGAACTATAATAACTTTCGTTATCGTTGCTATCATCACTTTCGGTCTCCCAATCCTCTTCCTCCTCCTCCTCCTCCGCCTCCTCTATAACTACATCATCGTCGTTGCTCGGGCCAACTGCAACATCATATCGCGGAAGATCACCGAGGTCAATTGTAATTGACTGAATCGGTATTTCGATTGAAGACACTCCTTGTATTTGAAATGGCTCTTGTATAACATTAGTATCTCGAAGTGTTTCCGCATCATTTTCCATTGAAGATTCTAAACGTTGGTCAGCTACATTGTTGACGTCGTTGTCAGTTGGGTCTAGTTCTGGTATAGCATACACGTTCCTGTGATCCATCTTTTGAACAACGTTCCAACCGCTTCCGGCTTTAGGGTCATCTAGATACACAATTTGTGTTGCCATGTTTGCCAAAATATAAGGGTCGTCATCATACCAAGTTCTGTTCATGTTCACAGATAGTAAGCCATGATCGATTTTAAACACTTCCCGGCCTATTTGGGTTGGTGTCAAACCATCGACACTTAAACATGATCACTTGGTATCGATCTTTGTAAAGCAATTGCACGACAGTTGTGAGTTTGCCATAGAAATCAATGTCCGTACTTTCGCCTCCACCTGGGACATGGACACCGCTGTTTTGCGTACACAACTTGTCATCTCGTGCTTCGGCCAAAAATTTGACACCGTTGACATTACAACCCGAGAACAATTCAGCGCGAATCGGGCCAAACGCCAAGTTATATAACTCATCACTGTAAGTTGGGGAATTCGATGATTTCAACTTATTCACCTAATATTATACAAAACCATTCATATGTTAGTCTGACAAAATTTATAAAAAAAATTTATATTTCTCAAATAACAAACACTGATAACTTACAGAATCCAAAAACCATTGTTTTTTTTTTTTTTTTTTTTTTTTTTTTTTTTTTTTTTTTTTTTTTTTTTTTTTTTTTTTTTTTTTTTTTTTTTTTTTTTTTTTTTTTTTTTTTTTTTTTTTTTTTTTTTTTTTTTTTTTTTTTTTTTTTTTTTTTTTTTTTTTTTTTTTTTTTTTTTTTTTTTTTTTTTTTTTTTTTTTTTTTTTTTTTTTTTTTTTTTTTTTTTTTTTTTTTTTTTTTTTTTTTTTTTTTTTTTTTTTTTTTTTTTTTTTTTTTTTTTTTTTTTTTTTTTTTTTTTTTTTTTTTTTTTTTTTTTTTTTTTTTTTTTTTTTTTTTTTTTTTTTTTTTTTTTTTTTTTTTTTTTTTTTTTTTTTTTTTTTTTTTTTTTTTTTTTTTTTTTTTTTTTTTTTCCCCTTTGGAATTTTTCAAATTTAATTAATTGTGTGGTATATCACTCTCATTTCTAATTGAATAAGAGGATTTAATAACGCGAACCGAAAATTATAAGGATCTAGATCCTCTTCTTTTCTTAGCTATGCTTACTCATTTGAATCCCAATAGTTCATTATTAGAAATCCAAGGATGTAATTTATTTTTGAGTTGTGTTACTTAAAGAGAGGATTTCTAATGAACTACTGGATTTCTAGAACAAGGATGATTCACATCCAAAATTAGTAAATGCAAACCCTTTGTTTGGTTCTCCATGATATGCGATGCCCTTGTAAAGGACGCAATTCTCTTTCTAATTCCACCAATCCCCCATATCTTATACTCACATGCACTTTATGATGCTATGACTTAAGCATGGTATCTTAGATAGATTGGATAACTCACACAATTATTCAAGGTATGTTGAAGAAAGAAATGAAGGCCAACTTCCAAATTTGTTCAAGTTGAAGGTAGAAGATGGATTAGTCACGAAGGAAACTGGAGAGCAATATACCCCCTTTGTGGACGCTCCTCCGATCCTGACAATCATTCACCAAAAAATCAACAGCAGCAAACCCCACTATATTGCATTTCACTTTAGTTGTTTTTAATATATATTATTATGAAGGGTTAGTGGCTCTTGCAAAAGGGTTGGGTTTTAAATTGGTGTATTTGAATATGGGTTCGAAGGTTATGGAAGACCGATGTGATTTAGGAGAAGGGTTGGTGGTCTGAAGGTGATGGAAGACCGATGTGATTTATGGAAGACCAATGCGAGATCTTGAATATGTTTGCTGGTTTGAAGGTATTTATTATGAATATTTGAAAATATTCTTGTTGCTGTGCGGCATCTTTTTAATTGAATTTTTTGGTGTCGGCAAGGATTGGGTTGCGGCAATGGAGGGTTATGGAGGAAGGGGAGGGTTGTGGATGAATTTCCAAATTTATCCTCACTTTTGACAGAAAATTTAACAGAATTTGACAGAAGGACTACTGGTGCAACAAAACACATATTTGAGTGACCTCTGCAACTAATAATTGATTTCAGTGACCCAAATGTAACTACGGGTATAGTTGAGGGACCATTGTTGCGAATAACCCTATTATGAATATTCCTATTAGAAATGGAGAATGGTTATATGAAACATGTAGGATATGAGAATGAGAAGTAAAGAAGAATGTTCAGTTGTTTTTCATTTTCTTTTTATTTCTATTTCGCTTCCAACATCGCTCACCATTTTGCAGAAATTCCAACTCCCCCACAGGGCTATGGTGGTTTGAATGATGAAAGGGGTCATCATGAGGAGGAAGTGGACGCCATTCCGCAATATTATGATCACGAGAGAACCATTTTCTTGACATTCTCTAGAATGGGCACACTCGCGAACATGAAATCACACACTTCTTCACTAGGTATGTGTATTTATATTTAAATGCATGCATATGCATGCATTATCAATCGATGGCTATATATATATGCACGAACTTTAGTACGTATGTAATTTTCGTATTAGTTAATTCCTTCATCATTAATTAATATTGGTTTTATTTTTCAATGTAATATATTTGTAAGTTTAAATCTCAAGATTACTTAAGTTCAATGTAATATATTTGTTTTGTTAGTGTTTATATGACGACTTTAATTATCTTTGCAGCTGTCCTTGCCTTAAGTCTTCGTCTGTGGCTGAAGAACTGTTGTATGAAACTAGATGCATATTTCCAGAACTCATATGCAAGTGGAAAAATTTGGAGGAGCTTTCTTTGGGAGGCAGCTATAATCTTGTGAAAATCATTGAACAGATCAGCATTCACTGCAAGAACTTTTGTGCTTTAACTTTGTTTGAGTCTCTTGGAAGAGATGCGGCAATGTCGATTGTTAACCTTTTGCCCAATATCAATAACCTGATCTTGATGAACTCACAGATTTGTCGGGATGATTTTGTTGTAATTCTACAGGGCTGCAAACACCCTGTGTTGCTGGATGCCAAGAAGTGTAAAGGTTTCAATGAGAGTGATGAAGAAATATTGAAGCTTGCTTCTCGTATTAGTAATTTCAGGTGTGAAGGCTCTATTGGTGGGGATTGTTGGGGTGGTAGTGTTTGCTCTTATTATCCTCTTTACCGTCAATTTTTGAATCTTAATGGCCAAGGTGGTGAAGGAGTAAATGATCCATTGTTTGATGATGATGAGGGTGATCATGAGGAAGACAATCTTCATCTTGATGATGAACTTGTTTGATTAATATCATTTCTGAGTTGTTTTGTATGTGGCAGATGTAGTCTGACCAAATTTGTTAGGTAGGGGTGTTGTATTGGCTAGTGGTAATTGAGCATATGTGTATGAGAGTTGAGCTTGAAGAATTTAAACAATGTGTGAAGAATAGTTGTAGTTCTTGAGGTTATTGATGTGTTCATAATTTCACATGATTTTATATCCTTTTACTTAGTTTTGTGAATTAATTTGGACTAAAGATGCTGAGTTGAGTTATTTCCTGTTTTTCAGCTTATGAGCCACGGAATGAATAAATTTGCCAAATATTCATCGTAATAGAGTTCGACATGATTCCAATTGGAGATGGGAGACAGCATCTTGAAGTTTATCCATGAATATTTTCATAATTTTTGAAGACTGCTAAGGTGCCCATTTTTAATTAGACAATTCAGCATAAATCAATTCCCGGAGAATACTGAGTTAGCAGGGGTATTTTGGCTACAACTCACTCATACGACATCGGATTGAGGCACATGATATATGGCTGAAAAGAAGACATCCAGAGCTTTCCAAAGAGTACGTAATTTTTGGAGGTCAGAAACGTGTCCAAATCGCATTCGCAATGAGGATCACGTTCAGTTTCCTGGAGGTTTTAGGAAACTTAGTTTTAATTAGCTTTTCTAGTTAGGAACTGACTTGGAAATCAAGTCTTCGTGTAAGGCCACTTGTTTAGGCCCATTCTAACTTGGTTTTAGGTTCTTTTAAGAGGGGAGGTCGTAGAGGCTCAGGACACTAGAAATTTCAGACTTCAACCGTGGAGCAAGGAAGAGCCACCGTGCCTCTAAACTCTAAGGGTTTTCCTTATCTCTTTCTCCATGTTTTATTTTTGCTTTGTTACCATGATTATGAGTAACTAATTTTCTTTTACTAAGACACAATGTAACCCTTTTCTAATTATTCAAAGCTTAGTTATGTCATGCTATTAGAATTTCCATGTTGTTGAAATTTAATCACTGTGCTTATTTTCTTAACTAATGATCTTGATGCTTAGCTACCATCTAGGTTTTTGGTTAAGTAATTTGATGCATGTTAGGGTATACGCCATGCCTAATATGAGTTTTGCTTCTTGTGATTAAATTCATGAATGCGCCTAAGGTAAACACTATACTCTTAGGGGTTTGTGTGATTGTGTGAAGTTCTCATTGAACCTAAGGTCTTTTTATATGTTTATATTTATGCCTCACGCCAAGGATAAATTGCATGTAAGAAGTGGTTAATTGCTGTGAAAAGAGTTAGTCATAATTTTGGAGAACTAATCATCAACATAACTTGGGAATTTTGATAGTATGCATCCTAAGGTTTGGATAAGAGGAATTGTGGTGAAATTGTTGTCTTGGTAAGCTTCTTTAAAATTTTCACAAACTTATTTAGTTCACGTTTTTCTTCGTTATCTTGTATTTTAATTTTCTTGTTTTCAACGTTCTTTCAAAGAAATCTTTCAAAACCAACTTTCAAAACTCCTCTATTAAGTTTTAGTTGAGTCATTAGTTTTAAGTTTATTAATTAGGGTGTCTAGAGTAATTTAGGATTTAAATTAGTTTATAATTCAAAACAACTTGAGAATTTATTCAATCTCTCTGGGAACGACCTTGTACTTGCCTTGGCTATATTGCATTAACCTTGTGCGCTTGCAAGTTTATTTCTTGAATTTAACTATCTAATTTTCAGGTAGTAAAATTATACATCAGTTATATCATCATAATTACTCCTCTCCTGAAATATGCATTGTGGTGATGCAGTTGTTAAAAGAGGAATAAATAAGGAGGTTAAGAAAGAAGCTTGTTCCAAAAGCACCGCGATGCTCTACTTACAGTCCTTTCATTCCCAAAAGTTAAAACTTGATCTGGTTGTAGGTTCATTATGCATACGCCTGCTCTCTTCAAGTTTCTTACATGTCTAGAGCTATTTATAACATTTTGGAATGACCACTCAAGCTGCTTTTGTTTGAATGCTGATGATTTTGCTTAGTTTCTTCTCAGTAAACTGACTTTTTCAATAAACAGAAAGCCATCAGGCTAAGTATCGATTTTCTAGAAGTAAAGCAACTGATCCTAAAATTACTGAGCTTTTAGGTTTTATGACTAAATCTCCTAACCTTACAAGAAGATTTCAAAATGAATATTGAATTAAAAGTAGTTATTCTGTCACAGGGTTTGTAGATTTTTCAATGAGATATGATGTGCAGTTGGAACTTTCTTCTCATGTTTTTTGTATTTTAGCCCCAGACCCTAAAATAATATGACAAAATTGTATATTTAAACAGTATAGCCGAACGGCTATATTCTTCAAATGAGTTCGAATATTTTTACATATAGCCGATCGGCTATACTTTCTAAATAGATTCGAATATTTTAAAAGTATAGCCGATCGGCTATACTATTTAAATATCCAACGAACACGAAGCTTGCACTCGCAGAAGACGGAACTTGCATTCGCAGTCACTGCTTCGTCCACCGGGGTTCGGCACCGAGAAAAGACCCAACCCGCCTGGCCGCCTAGCTCCCGCCTAGCGACTGCATAGCCGCCTAGCGACAGCCTAGCCGCCTAGCGACCGCCTAGCCGCCTAGAGCCCGCCTAGCGACCGCCTACCCGCCTAGCGCCGGCCTAGGGACCGCCTAGCGCTCGCCAAGCCACCTAGCCACCGCCTAGAGCCTGCCTAGCTGCCTAGCGCCCGCCTAGAAACCGCCTAGCCGCCTAGCGCCCGCCTAGCCGCCTAGCCAATTGACTGAAAGTTTGAAACCCGAAATTGAAAAAATTTAGCTGCAAATTTGAGCTTGAGACTGGGAAGCCGAAGCAGTGAAGCACAAGTCAGGTCCATAGAAGAACAGATCATTAGACTCTTAATTCATCTAATTCCATTCCTCTCCACGTTTCCCGCCTTATTCTCTTCTCTCTTGGCACTCTCCCAAACGACATGTTCACCTCACCACACCGACGACAACTCCTCCCATAGTTTGCTTGGTTCTTTTCTCACTTCTGTCACAACTGCTCTTGAAAGAGCCACCGAAGAAAAATCCTTATTACTAAATAAGGTAAAATTGGATTCAAACGACATTTCCTGTTGGATCACTTCACAAATTTTTTTTAACATTAAACTACTATTACCTTTTTGTATATAATCTGCAGATTCGAGACATAAATGAAGTATCAAGACAGGAGGTGGATGAAATGATCAATATGTTTGCTGGGCAAGTTTGTGTTTCATCATCTGACAATATTCAGAAAAGGTACTCATTTCAATAATGTCTGTCAGTTTGTTGTGTTAAGTGAGTTTGATAAAACTCCTTTAATTATAAGTTATAAATTAATGAGAAATTGTATATCTGCCCAATGCAAGTTATAGATATCAGCATATCCTTGAGATTGTCAGACACTAGTGAGCAGAAAATACAGGTTTTGTATATTTGAATGTATGTTGAAATATATACTGATGATAGTGACAAGCAATGGGTATCAACGAGTTAGAGTGATGGATTTGTTTTCAATTTACTTGGAAATAGTGACAGTTTTTAATTCATCTGTTTATCATGTCTGCTATTGTCCTTTGCTCCAAAGAAGCTGCAATTACATATTCCCCATTAAGAAGTAAAATCGTTTTCTTTGTTCAATTGATTTGCCCAAGATATGACTTCACAATCTACTTTTTGTCTTATGAAAATGGTATCTTGTAAGTAGGGTTTTCTGTTGTTGTTTAAGTTTGTTCTTCTTTTTAGGGATTAATAGATTCTAGCTGCTTTCGTTCGAATGCTGATGATTTTGCTTAGTTTCTTCCCAGTAAACTAACATTTTCAATAAACAGAAAGCCTCAATCCTTCATGATGGCTAAGTATCGATTTTCTAGAAGTAAAGCAAGTGATCCTAAAATTACTGAGCCTTTTGGTTTTATGACTAAATCTCCTACCCTTACAAGAAGATTTCAAAATGAATATCGAAATAAAAGTAGTTGTTCTGTCACCGGGTTTTATCATATAATTCTACTTTTCTCAAGCAGCTTATTGATTCATAAGTTTTCTTTTAAGTATCTTAGTGTACATGTGTTTCGATAGATGTAGAGTCTCTTTCTTTGTCACCCTGAAATTAACTTCAGTTTTGTAACTTTGTTTGCTGGTGTCTTGGTTGCCTTTCACCGAAGAATTATTGTTTGAGCATTCACAAATTATTTCAGAACTGATAAGTATGTGGACAAATTTTGGGAGGCAGCTATAGTTTTGGGAAGAAAAATCTTTAAGAGAAAGTCTTATTTCAAAGATGGTATTATTGGTTAAATGATTGTTATGCAAATTACAACTCAGAGTCATAAATTTACACAAGAGATGCAACTACTTTCTTTCATTGATGCTTCTGCCATCTGAGATGAAGTCAAAGTTGTATATTTTCTTTACGCAAATAGTTTTTTTGGAAGTTTAATTACAATTTTCTTATGATATCGATGCAGCTCTTTCTTCGCTTCCGCAGATGGCCCTTTCTGTTGGGAACTTTCCACCTCTTCTCTATCTGTATTTGCTAGTGCCTGTATAACAACAGTTGCCTTTTGTGATTCAGTATCATGGTTCACACTAGGGGGTTCAACTGGCACATTTTCAGCTGATAAGTATGTGGACAAATTTTGGGAGGCAGCTATAGTTTTGGGAAGAAAAATCTTTAAGAGAAAGTTTTATTTCAAAGATGGTATTATTGGTTAAATGATTGTTATGCAAATTACAACTCAGAGTCATAAATTTACACAAGAGATGCAACTACTTTCTTTCATTGATGCTTCTGCCATCTGAGATGAAGTCAAAGTTGTATATTTTCTTTACGCAAATAGTTTTTTTGGAAGTTTAATTACAATTTTCTTATGATATCGATGCAGCTCTTTCTTCGCTTCCGCAGATGGCCCTTTCTGTTGGGAACTTTCCACCTCTTCTCTATCTGTATTTGCTGGTGCCTGTATAACAACAGTTGCCCTTTGTGATTCAGTATCATGGTTCACACTAGGGGGTTCAACTGGCACATTTTCAGACTTCATTTTGTTAGGCCCACATTTGAATTTCAATCTAGGAAGCTTTGTGCTCAGACCAAGGTTTTCAACCTGGGAAGCTTCAATCACCGAAATTTTAGTTGCAGAGCTTTTAGGTATCAGCTCCTTTGCCCTTGTTTTCGGCTGAGATTGACAAGATGGATTTAGAGTAGCCGATTTTTGAGAAGCTCTATGGATATCTTCTCCATGAATATACTTGGGGCAGTTCTTGTTTGTTCTCATGTGTCCAGGCTGATCACATGCTCCACAGTTGAAACTCTGTCTCGCTGACTTCTTCTCCTGAAACCCCTTATCTCCATTTATTGATATTATCAGTTTCTTATTCATCAGATCTGTATCTTCAGCAGTATCAGTATTTCTAATTCCTTTACATTTTCCGGTCTTGTTTCTTTTGGGAAGATTACCAGCAACTTTTGCATCTCCAACTGGATTCTCTTTTGAAGTATAGGATCCCTTAGCTTTGGCTGCACCAATGATTTGCTTCACTGGCCTCTCTGGATTTTCGATACCAAAACATGTTTGCGAGCCAGGAGCCAACCCTGCTTCCTCCTCCACAAATCTTACTTTCTTCTTCTTCCTCGCAGTCTTATCATCATCCATGAGCAGCCTGCTTTGTTCAGCTGCTTCATCTTCAATTTCCTCTTCTGTCTGAGGGATGGATGGCCGGCTTCTCTTTTTAAGCCCTTTGACACCATCCGGTTTATCATGCTTGGATTCATGGTCATCTCCCTAGGCCTAGACCTTCTTGATCACATTCTTCTGCATCAAGCAGATTTTCCAAATCGCCCGCAAAAGAATCTAGATCGCCATTATTTCCTTCACAGCCATTCTCATTTTCATCCCCACCTATGGCTGAAGAAAAACTCTGAACTTTGACCCCAGATGCAGCTTGCTCACTGGAAAGCTTGCTTATCATTGCAATCCGATGCCATCTAGTCTGCCTCGCAATCAGTTCATCAGAAACACCGAATCTAAGAAGAACCTCTCGTGCAGCCTCCATGCTTAGTTTGCGTGGATCAGTATGATCTGCTCCAGTAACAGTGGTGCGTCCTCGACAAGCAGCAGACTTTTTCTTCCCCAGTGCAGGTTGGGATTGATAACCCTTTATGCCTCTCGCTGTGTGTTTTTTAGAATTTGATTTCGGTTGATAAGCAGTTTTTGCTCTTTGAATAATATCTATCACCTGCAACATCTTGCCAACCAAATTGACCTTCATTATCTGTCAGCTCAAAAGAATCTCCATTGCTCGGCTTTAGAGGGCGAGAGACCATCATGGCCATTGAATGAAGCCTTAGATGTTCACTGTCCTTGTTATCCAAAACCTCAAAAAGCATTTGCTCATCTTGAAGATCAATGATAAGCTTTGGCTTCTCAGTAGGTGTATCACTATCAGGCTCCCATATTATTTGGTCTAACCAAGATCCTTCCAGCATGTCCCGGTTTTGTGAAGCAAGTTTGCGAATTAATTGCCTCACACCATCACTCTGTTGAAGCTTCTCACCAGCATTCTGCCTTGTACTGTCTGCATGGTCATCCACGTCTAGGCGCAAAATTTGGGGATGGCATCTGCTTGCTGAGAAAGTAAGTGATGAATTACTAGATGAGCTATTATGCAGCATATTTTGTGGCCCATTATCAAGTTCTGTGTCATTTTTAACTGAGGCTTCATGATCAGGTCCTGATATTTCACAACTCTCAACGTCACTGTCACTTGCTATAGGAGAATTGCCCCAAACAATTCCATCTTCCCAGTCTTGTTGATCAAGAGGGAAAAATTTAGAAACCAAAGGTGATTGCCTTTCCCTTTCCTCAGAAACATATACTGTTAGATCCTGTTTCATTGGTTCAGCAACGAAACACAAGTCTTTAATTTTGTGAAGTTCGAATCATCATCCTTGAATGAGGACTCTGAGATGCCATGTTTCACTGTCAAAGACTGAAATCCTTGCAAGAATGCCTCTTCTTCGTCGTCTTCAACAATATCATCAGAAACATCCATGGATTTCGTATGCCTATGTTTAGGAGCGGAGTAGCTAAGCCTATCATGATCTGCACCAAAGATTTCCGAAAATCGTAAGATAGCCAATCCATCTTCTATGCATAGAACTGGCAGTGGAGTGGGAGTTAAAGTGCAACTTTTATCTGAAAACACTTGACCCTCCTCAGCTGGTAAAGAAATAGTTTGAACATCAACAACATCAACTTTGTTTTCAGTTGCAAACCACATGATCATGTTCCACTTGCTCTTCAATTTCCTCCTCATCATAATTTTCATCATCAAACACAGAACCTGTGGTGGTAGTGGGCCCCAAAGAAGCCAATGAGACTTGATCAACATAAAGATCATATTCGTTTCTGGGCAACAAGGGGTCATGGTCCTCCTTAAAATCCTCATCAAAATCAAAATAATCAACTGCATTGTCAGCCTTGTCACCATCATATTCTTGTTCAACATCCGTATGATCTAGTTTTATCAAAGATGGGCCGAGCTTGTCAGAAAACGCAGCAAGATGTTCCTTTGCATCGTCGTCAAGATAATCGACGTCAAGATCACCAGATTCATTGACATTGCCAAACATGAACCCCAGAAATCGATTACCCCTACCAAACTCCTCGTAAACTTCCTCATCACACGAATCGTAACCCATGTTGTTCTTCCTCCCTCGCGCCCTCTGCTTTCTTCAGGCCTGTTAGGGATTGCTGGTGGAGCCTTAAAGGTATCCTCTTTTTTGCCCCAATTTTTAGTTTCAAAGGTGCTTGGCAAAAGGGTATATGTATATATATGTATCTGCTTCTTAAAGAATCGGTGGTCTTGTCACACAAATGTTAGGATTTAGCGAGTAGAAGCGTTCGTTGCTCTCCATTAGGGTTTTGAGTTAAGAGCGAGAGCTCTCCGCCTCTGCTCTGACTGTGAGCGTTGTGGAGAAAACTGAGAAATTAGAGGCCCAGAAATTTGGAAGCCTGCGAGGGCCCAATATAAGAAATTCTGATCTCTCACTCAAGCGAGGGCCCAATTTTTTTGTTTGTTTTTTGTTTTGTTTCTTCAATAATTATTGGGGACCTCTTTCAAAATTTAGATAAGTATTTGACTAGGGGTGGGCATCGGGACCGGAAAATCGGAACACCGAACCGAACCGGTGAAAAAAAAGGGAAAAAAAAATAGGTTGACAAAAAAAGTCAACAAATCGGACCGAAACCAGACCGAATCGATTCCAACCGGTTCTGATTCCGGTTTTACACCTCACCGCACCGGACCAGACATATATATATATTACAAATTTTTAAAATCTAATGCCATATTTTAAATTTTATAATCACTATTTTTCCAAGTTCAACTTCAAAAAATTCTAAATGTATGAATTGGATTCTTTGTTAATTTTTAAGCCAAAAAAATAAGTTATTTATTATACTATTTTTATAATTAAAAAATTAAAAAATTAAAAATCTGGTTCAAAACCGAAACCGGTCAAAACCGAACCAGCCGGTTTTTGAATTTTCTTTACCTAAACCAGGCCGAACCGGACTGGTTAAATAATACCGGTTTCGATTTCGATTTGAGGTGAGAACCGGACCGAACCGTACCGCACCCACCCTTATATTTGACAATGTTTCGTTGATGACAATGCGGGACGATCCGGATTCCTCTATCCGTCTTTTATCATATGTAATACTGTGTGTAATATGTAGATGTGGTTAACAAAGTATTGTGGGTAACAAAGTTATGAGATATCAAAGAATGAAAATAAGCTACATTCCACAACAGTCCACTCCCTATTGTATTTAATTCATGCAGCAATGCTAATTAGTTTTGATCTAAATATATTCATATTTTGAAATCAACTTAATAGAAAATAGATTTACAATGAAACATGAATTTTAACTCAAAATTAAAATTAACCAATTTCATCAGCGATCATAGTTATGAACTCCATATGATTTGACAAATAAAATTGTTCATGATGCTCAGTTGAAATCAATTCTATAGAAAACAGATTTTCACTAAATCCTTATGTTAGTCTTTGTATTAGCCTTGCCAACGGAGTCTAGCATAGTTAAAAATAGCATTAACTTGTAAATCAATGGTCTTTACATTAGGCTTTTGTGGCGGACAGGAGAAAGATTATATTTTATAGATGTTAATATAATTGCAATTTTCACTTGGTTAAAAAATAAAAACAGGATATAACAATTTACTACTAGACTTGCAATGGTGAGCTGACTTATAGAAGTTTGAGGGTGTGGCATGTTAGGAGGGAAAGGATAGAGAACATTTTTGTTCACCACTTAAACCCAATGTGTACTCTGATCTCATCATTTTTCTCAACATTTGACACGTGTTCATGGGCGTAACCATAGTTCCATAAATACAAAGTAAAAAGTTAACTATGGTTTGGCCCATGGACACATGTCAAGTATTGAGAAGGGTATTGAGCAGTGGCGAAGCCAGGATTTCATGTGTGTGGGGGCCTCTTACAAATTATAAAAAATCAAAAATTCGAACTCATAATACATACAAAAAATAGTGTGTATATATATCACATATGTCAAGAATTATATTGCTTATTGGTTGCAATCATAATTGTTCTCGATAAATGGATAAACAAATACATTCTAAACAAGAAAAATTGCAAGAGATAGACAAAGAGTAGCAATTTAGCAAATATCTTTAAAGCTTTTTCCCCCATTAAATCCAATAGAAAGAAAAAAAAATCAAAATTTGACAGGACCCGTCCCGAATTTCCCGGAACCCGAGACGAACCCTGCGGAGACCCCGGCATCACACCCACGCCGGGTTTACTCCTTAAATCTACGTCCTCGTTTACCATAGAGGATTAAGGGCACGAGACTTTCTGCCGAAATTTCGGCAGAGACTCCCCTGTAAATTGAACATTTCCCCAAAATGTCCACCTGCATAAAACACATTTTATAACCCAACCAGCAGCACGCACAATATACTCTCATGCACTTTACATAAATGGCCTCCGGCCTTCAAATGATTCTAGCAGAACTGCCCACACTGTTTTTAAAATAACTTCATGCATCAACCATGCATATAACAAATTCCAAATCTCTCTATGCACACCTTCACTCACTCAGTCCACCGGACAAGCCTCAATTCAACCAAGTTTCGGGACCAACCACGAGGTCCGCATCATACACGATAAAACCACCTAAGTGGTGTCTAAGTCGTGGCTGCACCTAGGCGCTATCCCAGGCTGCCTACGTACCCTACTAAGGGATCAAGCCACACGTAGCTCTTTCCTATCAATCCTGGCTCCTGATATCAATTAAACCATTCCATCCATATAAATTCATACATTCTCGGGTTTATCCATCACCACACACCAAACATAATCACATAGCTCCCCTCATACGACGGGACGCACCCGGCCTCGTATGGGGTCTGTCTACACGCCGGCTAATCCAAAGACGCGTGCGACCTCTCACTGGGCCTGGCTACATTCTCACCAGCCATCATACTGTTCTCTTTGGCCTGGCTACATTCTCACCAGCCATCATACTATCATATCTCCCACTCATACGTCGGGACGCACCCGGCCACGTACGGGGTCTGTCAACACGCCGGCTAACCCAAAGACGCGTGCGACCTCACACTGGGCCTGGCTACATTCTCACCAGCCCTTATACCATCATATCACCCACTCATACGTCGGGACGTACCCGGCCACGTACGGGGCCTGTCAACACGCCGGCTAACCCAAAGACGCGTGCGACCTCACACTGGGCCTGGCTACATTCTCACCAGCCCTTATACCATCATATCACCCACTCATACGTCGGGACGTACCCGGCCACGTACGGGGCCTGTCAACACGCCGGCTAACCCAAAGACGCGTGCGACCTCACACTGGGCCTGGCTACATTCTCACCAGCCCTTATACCATATATCACCCACTCATACGTCGGGACGTACCCCGGCCACGTACGGGGCTGTCAACACGGGCAACCCAAAGACCGTGCGACCTCACATATCACTTGGGTCTGGATACAGTCTCACCAGCCCTTATACCATCATATCACCCACTCATACGTCGGGACGTACCCGGCCACGTACGGGGCCTGTCAACACGCCGGCTAACCCAAAGACGCGTGCGACCTCACACTGGGCCTGGCTACATTCTCACCAGCCCTTATACCATCATATCACCCACTCATACGTCGGGACGTACCCGGCCACGTACGGGGCCTGTCAACACGCCGGCTAACCCAAAGACGCGTGCGACCTCACACTGGGCCTGGCTACATTCTCACCAGCCCTTATACCATCATATCACCCACTCATACGTCGGGACGTACCCGGCCACGTACGGGGCCTGTCAACACGCCGGCTAACCCAAAGACGCGTGCGACCTCACACTGGGCCTGGCTACATTCTCACCAGCCCTTATACCATCATATCACCCACTCATACGTCGGGACGTACCCGGCCACGTACGGGGCCTGTCAACACGCCGGCTAACCCAAAGACGCGTGCGACCTCACACTGGGCCTGGCTACATTCTCACCAGCCCTTATACCCATCATATCACCCACTCATACGTCGGGACGTACCCGGCCACGTACGGGGCCTGTCAACACGCCGGCTAACCCAAAGACGCGTGCGACCTCACACTGGGCCTGGCTACATTCTCACCAGCCCTTATACCATCATATCACCCACTCATACGTCGGGACGTACCCGGCCACGTACGGGGCCTGTCAACACGCCGGCTAACCCAAAGACGCGTGCGACCTCACACTGGGCCTGGCTACATTCTCACCAGCCCTTATACCATCATATCACCCACTCATACGTCGGGACGTACCCGGCCACGTACGGGGCCTGTCAACACGCCGGCTAACCCAAAGACGCGTGCGACCTCACACTGGGCCTGGCTACATTCTCACCAGCCCTTATACCATCATATCACCCACTCATACGTCGGGACGTACCCGGCCACGTACTGGGCCTGTCACAACACGCGGCTACCCAAAGACGCGTGCGACCTCACCTGGGCCTGGCTAATTCTCACCAGCCCTTATACCATCATATCACCCATCATACGTCGGGACGTACCCGGCCACTCGGGGCCTGTCAACAACGGCGCCGGGTAACCCAACCCAGACGCGTGCGTCACACTGGGCTGGCCTACATTTCTCACCACCCTTATACCCATCATATCCCCACTCATACTCGGGACGTACCCGGCCACGTACGGGGCCTGTCAACACGCCGGCTAACCCAAAGACGCGTGCGACCTCACACTGGGCCTGGCTACATTCTCACCAGCCCTTATACCATCATATCACCCACTCATACGTCGGGACGTACCCGGCCACGTACGGGGCCTGTCAACACGCCGGCTAACCCAAAGACGCGTGCGACCTCACACTGGGCCTGGCTACATTCTCACCAGCCCTTATACCATCATATCACCCACTCATACGTCGGGACGTACCCCAAAAACTGACCGGAAGTGGCCGGAATCTCATCCCGAAATCCGGCCGAACCCTAACTCGAAAATCAGATAATCTAGACTCAAAATCGATGCAATCCTACCCAACCATCAGCTAGATCATGCAGAGGGGATGAATTTCCATACCTTGATCGCCAAAAATGGCGGCCGGACGACGGAGAACGAAGCCGGCGAATTTTCTGTCAAAACCGGAGCTTTTCTCCTCGTTTTCCGGCGAAACCTCGACGGCCGACGGCGAGACCTGGCTGGGGTAGGAAGAGGACGGCGGCCCGGTCATTTTGGTACCGGCCCCGTCGACTTTGGTGGCCGGACGAGCGAACGGCCGGCCAAAACGTGGTCGGCCATGGTGGCTGTCGCGAACCAGAGGAGAGAGAGAGCGACGCGCGGGAGAGAGAGAGTGTGTGAGAGACGGGGGCAATTCCGTCTTTTAACCAAAAATCCATTTCCAAATATTTACGATTATGCCACTGAGCTTCTTTTGATCATATCTCTCTCGTTACAACTCCGATTCGAGCCCACTACGTGTCTATGAACTCATCTCGCCGTGCTCTACGCAACGGTACATCCGAAATTCTCAAATTCCTTCCGGGTAAGAAAATGACTAAAATACCCCTATCCCACGGGTAAATTCTTAATTTCGCTCAAATTAATTAAAATAGGGGATAAATTTGGAGTCGGGGTGTTACAGACTACCCCCCTTATAAAAATTTCGTCCCCGAAATTTCATACCTGCCACTTCAAAGGGTGTGGGTACTGGGCCCGCATCTACTGCTCGGGTTCCCATGCTTCATCCTCCACAACCAAGTTGGCAGCCAAGTCATTCCATTTGTGATTTGATTCTCTTCTAGTTCTCCCATGAAGAGAAGTCCAAACTCCTTGACTTGTTGATATCTTCCTTATTTCTTTAGAATCGATAAGCAACATTGCCAACACGATTCTTTGAGAGGAATGTCAGAAAGGATCATTTTTACCGAATTGTAATCATCATCTTCCTCTCTCTACCATGACCCATTTCTGATTCAGATAAAAGATTTCAAACGTGTGCACATGAGATGAGACCCAAAGCACTCTCTTCATCTCCACGGTAGGTTTACCAATCCATCTAGGTCTCATCCTTGGATTTGCTCGTGGTATTCCCACCACACACGAGCCTCCTTCCGTATGAGGAGTACGGCTATCTAAATCTTTTCTCACACTTGTGATTTCGATTATACTAAAGCCGTCCTTCATATCATGAATCCAGTGATTCACTCTTCGAGAATTCACTCTTCTCAAAGAAAGGTTGAGCTCTTATTATCTTCGACTTCGTGCTCAATGCACACAATCGAGAATTAGCAACATGTTCAGGCAATGGAGGATCCCCAGAAGTAGATTGATCAACTCCATGTCCTCCTGCCCATAAGAACTCTACAAACTTCATCCAACACTACTACTTCTCAACTTAATTTGTCACGACCCTCCTTGGTCGGACTCACAACTCCTCCATTCCCATGTAACTTGTCCATCAACTTCCTCTGACAATTTCGTCTCATCTCAGCGGATTCAATACTTTCAGCTCTTCCATTTCCTTCCATAGGATATTGAGATACGACAATTTGGATAGACACGTTTCTAGGAACGTGGCACCCTTAAGTGTACTCATCAATACCCTAAATCCATCCATGTCAAAGAATCCTCCGCGTCAAAATGATGACGTCCCGTGACGGAACCCATCATGATCCCACAACTTAAAGATGCACACAAGGTGCGAGGTCCACAAGAAATTGAACCTAAGCTCTGATACCAAGCTGACAGGACCCGTCCCGAATTTCCCGGAACCCGAGACGAACCCTGCGGAGACCCCGGCATCACACCCACGCCGGGTTTACTCCTTAAATCTACGTCCTCGTTTACCATAGAGGATTAAGGGCACGAGACTTTCTGCCGAAATTTCGGCAGAGACTCCCCTGTAAATTGAACATTTCCCCAAAATGTCCACCTGCATAAAACACATTTTATAACCCAACCAGCAGCACGCACAATATACTCTCATGCACTTTACATAAATGGCCTCCGGCCTTCAAATGATTCTAGCAGAACTGCCCACACTGTTTTTAAAATAACTTCATGCATCAACCATGCATATAACAAATTCCAAATCTCTCTATGCACACCTTCACTCACTCAGTCCACCGGACAAGCCTCAATTCAACCAAGTTTCGGGACCAACCACGAGGTCCGCATCATACACGATAAAACCACCTAAGTGGTGTCTAAGTCGTGGCTGCACCTAGGCGCTATCCCAGGCTGCCTACGTACCCTACTAAGGGATCAAGCCACACGTAGCTCTTTCCTATCAATCCTGGCTCCTGATATCAATTAAACCATTCCATCCATATAAATTCATACATTCTCGGGTTTATCCATCACCACACACCAAACATAATCACATAGCTCCCCTCATACGACGGGACGCACCCGGCCTCGTATGGGGTCTGTCTACACGCCGGCTAATCCAAAGACGCGTGCGACCTCTCACTGGGCCTGGCTACATTCTCACCAGCCATCATACTGTTCTCTTTGGCCTGGCTACATTCTCACCAGCCATCATACTATCATATCTCCCACTCATACGTCGGGACGCACCCGGCCACGTACGGGGTCTGTCAACACGCCGGCTAACCCAAAGACGCGTGCGACCTCACACTGGGCCTGGCTACATTCTCACCAGCCCTTATACCATCATATCACCCACTCATACGTCGGGACGTACCCGGCCACGTACGGGGCCTGTCAACACGCCGGCTAACCCAAAGACGCGTGCGACCTCACACTGGGCCTGGCTACATTCTCACCAGCCCTTATACCATCATATCACCCACTCATACGTCGGGACTACCCGGCCACGTACGGGGCCTGTCAACACGCCGGCTAACCCAAAGACGCGTGCGACCTCACACTGGGCCTGGCTACATTCTCACCAGCCCTTATACCATCATATCACCCACTCATACGTCGGGACGTACCCGGCCACGTACGGGGCCTTCAACACGCCGGCAACCCAAAGACGCGTGCGACCTCACACCTGGGCCTGGCTACAGTCTCACCAGCCCTTATACCATCATATCACCCACTCATACGTCGGGACGTACCCGGCCACGTACGGGGCCTGTCAACACGCCGGCTAACCCAAAGACGCGTGCGACCTCACACTGGGCCTGGCTACATTCTCACCAGCCCTTATACCATCATATCACCCACTCATACGTCGGGACGTACCCGGCCACGTACGGGGCCTGTCAACACGCCGGCTAACCCAAAGACGCGTGCGACCTCACACTGGGCCTGGCTACATTCTCACCAGCCCTTATACCATCATATCACCCACTCATACGTCGGGACGTACCCGGCCACGTACGGGGCCTGTCAACACGCCGGCTAACCCAAAGACGCGTGCGACCTCACACTGGGCCTGGCTACATTCTCACCAGCCCTTATACCATCATATCACCCACTCATACGTCGGGACGTACCCGGCCACGTACGGGGCCTGTCAACACGCCGGCTAACCCAAAGACGCGTGCGACCTCACACTGGGCCTGGCTACATTCTCACCAGCCCTTATACCATCATATCACCCACTCATACGTCGGGACGTACCCGGCCACGTACGGGGCCTGTCAACACGCCGGCTAACCCAAAGACGCGTGCGACCTCACACTGGGCCTGGCTACATTCTCACCAGCCCTTATACCATCATATCACCCACTCATACGTCGGGACGTACCCGGCCACGTACGGGGCCTGTCAACACGCCGGCTAACCCAAAGACGCGTGCGACCTCACACTGGGCCTGGCTACATTCTCACCAGCCCTTATACCATCATATCACCCACTCATACGTCGGGACGTACCCGGCCACGTACTGGGCCTGTCACAACACGCCGGCTAACCCAAAGACGCCGTGCGACCTCACCTGGGCCTGGCTACATTCTCACCAGCCCTTATACCATCATATCACCCACTCATACGTCGGGACGTACCCGGCCACTACGGGGCCTGTCAACCACGCCGGCTAACCCAAAGACGCGTGCGACCTCACACTGGGCTGGCTACATTCTCACCAGCCCTATACCATCATATCACCCACTCATACGTCGGGACGTACCCGGCCACGTACGGGGCCTGTCAACACGCCGGCGAACCCAAAGACGCGTGCGACCTCACACTGGGCCTGGCTACATTCTCACCAGCCCTTATACCATCATATCACCCACTCATACGTCGGGACGTACCCGGCCACGTACGGGGCCTGTCAACACGCCGGCTAACCCAAAGACGCGTGCGACCTCACACTGGGCCTGGCTACATTCTCACCAGCCCTTATACCATCATATCACCCACTCATACGTCGGGACGTACCCCAAAAACTGACCGGAAGTGGCCGGAATCTCATCCCGAAATCCGGCCGAACCCTAACTCGAAAATCAGATAATCTAGACTCAAAATCGATGCAATCCTACCCAACCATCAGCTAGATCATGCAGAGGGGATGAATTTCCATACCTTGATCGCCAAAAATGGCGGCCGGACGACGGAGAACGAAGCCGGCGAATTTTCTGTCAAAACCGGAGCTTTTCTCCTCGTTTTCCGGCGAAACCTCGACGGCCGACGGCGAGACCTGGCTGGGGTAGGAAGAGGACGGCGGCCCGGTCATTTTGGTACCGGCCCCGTCGACTTTGGTGGCCGGACGAGCGAACGGCCGGCCAAAACGTGGTCGGCCATGGTGGCTGTCGCGAACCAGAGGAGAGAGAGAGCGACGCGCGGGAGAGAGAGAGTGTGTGAGAGACGGGGGCAATTCCGTCTTTTAACCAAAAATCCATTTTCCAAATATTTACGATTATGCCACTGAGCTTCTTTTGATCATATCTCTCTCGTTACAACTCCGATTCGAGCCCACTACGTGTCTATGAACTCATCTCGCCGTGCTCTACGCAACGGTACATCCGAAATTCTCAAATTCCTTCCGGGTAAGAAAATGACTAAAATACCCCTATCCCACGGGTAAATTCTTAATTTCGCTCAAATTAATTAAAATAGGGGATAAATTTGGAGTCGGGGTGTTACAAAATTTCCCAAATTAAAAACAACCTTAGGCCCCTTTATGCATTCATATCATACATGAAAAAAATATTGACTAAGTATGAAAAATGGTTTTTCGGAATAATCATTTTCTCAAGATAATTTTTGGCGGATTTTCTTCCTTACACATGAAATAAGAAAACTTGATTTTATGGGATTTTAGTATGAAGTATATATTGACTTAATGAGCCATCATTTTTAGCCTAAATCGTATTTTACACTAAAACCGATTTTTCATATTTTGATTTGGTGGGAATTTGATTTTCTAGTATTTTTATTTGAATCCAAATAGGGGGTACTTCCTTATTTACATTGTAAACTTAAGTAAATGGAGTAATATAAAAATAAATTAAAGTCAAAGGACAAAGAAATTTACTTAAATGTTGAAAATGGAAATAAGGTAATCTGTACACCTGGAGTGCATCACCACTAGCTGAGCAAGGACGCAATTTGAATTACCTTCTTGTGCCTTAATAAGTCCGCCACAATACATGTGGGTACATATCAAAACGTAAAGTATTTGAAATAATATACATATATAAATACATAATAGTATATTACTTTTAAAATATAAAAAACCTTGAGTGGGGGCCCGGGACCACACTGGTCCCAGTGTGGCTCCGCCCCTGGTATTGAGGGTGCACATTGGGCTAAAGTGGTGAGCAAAAATATTTCCGAAAGGAGATGGGGAGAGTTTTGATCCAATTTGGTAAATAAACAAATTGGATGAAGTTACCATTATACCTTTCATTTTGAAATCATTTATTAAAAATAGTTTTGAAGTCATAATTTTATTTACCAAAAGAGGGAAAGTCACGGGTCAGTCTCTGAAGTTGGTGCAGCACGTAACCCAAATCTATTACATTGATTGCACCTCACCTGCTCTTCTCTTCAAAGCTATGTACGTAGTACGTACGCATGAACTATTTCACACAAAACTTAAATAAATAAAAACCGAAAATAAAAACACAAAGACACAAAGCTCCCAAGAACAGAACTTCTGACTCCAAAAAAAGCTCCCAAGAACACAACACAGTTACACAGAGAAAGGAAAACCCCCAGCTCTTAAGATGTCTAGAGGTCGATCTGATGAAGACACTGTGAAGCTCAAGGTTCAGTACAACAAGGTTTGATTCTCTCCCACTCTTTTCCTTGCATGTGTTGTTAATGAAAAATGTTAACCTTGTTTTTTTTTCCTTTCTAATTTTCCTTTTCCTATAACGAAATGAAAGGAAGAAATTGGGTTTCCGTTAAGGTTACTGGGAGACTTCGGGGGTTGATGGGTTTATGTAAGAACTAAGATGGATAAAATATTTTCTCTCTCATGATTTTTATATTAATTGCCCTCAATTAACTCAAGCTTTTTTTTTTTTTTTTTTTTTTTTTTTTTTTTTTTTTTTTTTTTTTTTTTTTTTTTTTTTTTTTTTTTTTTTTTTTTTTTTTTTTTTTTTTTTTTTTTTTTTTTTTTTTTTTTTTTTTTTTTTTTTTTTTTTTTTTTTTTTTTTTTTTTTTTTTTTTTTTTTTTTTTTTTTTTTTTTTTTTTTTTTTTTTTTTTTTTTTTTTTTTTTTTTTTTTTTTTTTTTTTTTTTTTTTTTTTTTTTTTTTTTTTTTTTTTTTTTTTTTTTTTTTTTTTTTTTTTTTTTTTTTTTTTTTTTTTTTTTTTTTTTTTTTTTTTTTTTTTTTTTTTTTTTTTTTTTTTTTTTTTTTTTTTTTTTTTTTTTTTTTTTTTTTTTTTTTTTTTTTTTTTTTAAAAGGGCACAACCAGTAGATATCCTACGATATCCTAGGAGTCTACTACAGTTGAGTCCTCTATACCGCAGCAACTTCAATTTCAACTTGTTCCCTGAAGAGACTCCACTGCAACAAAAAAAGTGTGGCAGCTTAACACGTCCGCAAGCCCTTCAACCAGTCACTATTAAGGCATCAAAATGAAGTTTCTATTGCTATATATTTAGGCATCTATAAAATAAGTATCACAAAAAGTGATGAAAAACATGGAAACATGAAACATCTAAGAAAGATGATGAGCCAGAACTATATGAAACATTCATTCAGACAGGGGACATTTTACCTTCAAGAATGACAATCACAGTGGTCAAATCAGAAAGTTGAACTATAATTTCTACTGGCACAACTCAAGTACTCTATACTAAGTATAGTTTATTTATTTATTATTATTAGTAATAGAGACGGGAGATTCGATCTTCGGCCTCTTCTAACATTGTGAAGAGATGGAAGAGCTAGTTGTTAAGATTTTTCTGTGTTTTATGTTCTCATGTTTAGCGATTGAGCATCGCTTTTGTCTTGTTGCCTCCGACAACGAAGGAGTTCTTATTATAAAGGATTACCATATGCTTGTTTTCCCAGGTTTATCCTCTTTCTATTCTTTTGAAATTTATGGTTTTTTTTTTCTTTTAATTTGGTGTTTAATTAATTTATGGTATACAGATGTAGTTATATTAAATCGTTGTTGCAGATGGACGAACGAAGATGGGAGGACTTGGAAATGGACTGCTTGGTCAAAGTGTTGGAGAAAGTTGGAATGGAGTCACTGCTTTTGGGTGTCCCTTTTGTGTGCAAGTCGTGATACAAGGCGACCCTCAATCCTTCATGCTGCGAATGTATTGAAGTCCGGTCTTGGGATGTGTCTGAATGTCTGAATTTTTAAAATCTTATGGACAGATTTGCAAGTGAGTATCAAATTGATGAGGATCGTTGCTCTGTCACCACTTTTTTAAAGTTTGTGATCAATCAGTAATTCAAGAAGTTAGATAATAATTTGTAGATTTTTCAATGAGATATGATGTGCAGTTAAACTTTCTTCTCACGTTTTTTTTTATTTTAGCCCCAAACACTAAAATAACATGACAAAATCGTATATTTAAAGCGTATAGCCAAGCGGATATACTCTTCAAATGCGTTCGAATTTTTTTTTTTTTTTTTTTTTTTTTTTTTTTTTTTTTTTTTTTTTTTTTTTTTTTTTTTTTTTTTTTTTTTTTTTTTTTTTTTTTTTTTTTTTTTTTTTTTTTTTTTTTTTTTTTTTTTTTTTTTTTTTTTTTTTTTTTTTTTTTTTTTTTTTTTTTTTTTTTTTTTTTTTTTTTTTTTTTTTTTTTTTTTTTTTTTTTTTTTTTTTTTTTTTTTTTTTTTTTTTTTTTTTTTTTTTTTTTTTTTTTTTTTTTTTTTTTTTTTTTTTTTTTTTTTTTTTTTTTTTTTTTTTTTTTTTTTTTTTTTTTTTTTTTTTTTTTTTTTTTTTTTTTTTTTTTTTTTTTTTTTTTTTTTTTTTTTTTTTTTTTTTTTTTTTTTCACAAAAAAAATCACAGAAATTTCCTAATTCATATTTAGCAGATTTCCTATTGGACTGTATTTGTCTACCAATTTTAAAATCAATACACATTCTCATACCAACTTGGTTGATTGTACTTATGATATTTCCATATGTTAAGCTATCCCAATCTATATGGCCTTGTTCATTACTCAGGGTCGTGCGTATTTTGTGGGCAAATAAATTTGGAAGACCATTAACAAACTTTTCTTTCCAGAAAGGTTGATTACTATCATCCCTAAGCATGACTCTAGAGATGAAGACATCTTTGTACCATTTGAAATCAGACAACTTAGGACATTTAAGATTGCTAAGCTGGTCATGGATCCTGGCAGTAGTATTACTAGGGGTTCCAATGAAATGCTCAATTATTGTGTAAAACAAAGTGTTGACTCCGTCTTCTATACCTTGAACTATTTGTTCGTCAAATATAGGGAGACCATCTTCATTAAGTTTTACAGCATGAATAATCAGATTCTTGGACTCAGGGGTTAAGTGCTTATCCCACCAATACCTGAGAGTACCGGTTAACCCAGTAACTAACAGGGGTACAATCTCAGATTGTCTGAAACTGTGATTGGTGATGTAACTGTTGGCAACCATGGACATATGTTGTAACTTATTAAAGATTTCTTGCTCAGACAGACTATCAATATTCCACTCGTACAATTTATCAGAAGAAACTGAAAACTGGGTTTGGAAGTTTCTTTCTTCAAACTAGATATCTGGAGGAGTTGGTCTAAGGTACCAATTTTTTGTTAAGCTAGTGGGGCTTATGTGTCTATCTAATCTTTTGATTTTGGGTTCAACTTGGACTTCCAGATTTTTGAAAGCATTTTCTATTTTTGAAATATTACTAGTTTCGGATTCTGTTGTCTCAGGTTCAGACTCAAAGGGGTTCGTGGTTGCAAAAGAATATAGTGTTTTAAGACCAGATTTTTCAGCTTTACTTAGGGTTAACTGTTCTAACATTTCTTCAATTTTCTTTATTGTAGGTTTAATATTAAGCGTGGGGCTTGACTTAAGATCCTGGAACTGAACTATTGGTTTTTCAATTTTTGGTTTAAACTTAGTTTCTAGGGGACTTATCTTGTCAATCTTAGTTTCAATTGTATCCAGTTGTTTCCCTATGACGATTAGACTCTGATTGGTATAATTATTTTGCTCAATTAGTCTTCTATTAGTATCATTGCTTTCAAAGGCTTTGAAGGGACTAGCAGGCATAGGTGTATTTTTATGATTGATGATTATGGTGTCAACTGGGGGATGACTAGCTTCAACTTCTGACTTGTCTACCATTTTCCATTTTTCTTTAGTTAGAGTTTTTAACTCATTAGACATGTAGCGGCTTTCAATAAAATCAAGATAGAAAATTTCAACTTTGGCTGACCGCATATAATCTTTCCATTCATTAAAGATTTTTTGACGGCTTTCACTATTAGGGTAAGCTTGGTGATAACTATTTCTTCTATGCTGATTTTCTGGGGTCTTGAGATGATGATTTAAGCGTTTCCAATTAATCTCAAATTTTTTATTAAGGGTTCTAAGTTGATTATCAACTGCTGCAAAATTTTCAACTAAGAAGTCAGATTGTGTAGGTGACTCAGGTGAATCGGACTTGTCATCTTGGATTGGTACCTTGCCATAACAAGGTTGGTTTACCTGAGAGGATTTTCTCAGGGACTCAAGTTTGAAATCAATCATGGCCTTTCCTAACTCTAGGTCTCGTTCTAGAGTGGAGGACGAGGCTGCAAAGGAGCGCCTAGCAGGAGCATGCCTTTAAGATTGACCAGGGGTCGGCAACTGTTGTAACTGGACATTAGACTTCTTCAGGGGCTGATTTTCAAATCTAATTTTTACTGTACCATCTAGATACTGTTGGATATAATCTAAATTATTTAGACTACGCTGTATTGGAACTGGTTGGCTCTCGGTGACTAGGGTCCAATCTTTTGGAAGGGCAACTTCTGACCACTTAATGGTATGAGGAACTTGGATATGGGCATCTGCTGTATGACTTTGAATTAAAACAGTTTGGTCTTTTGGGCTTTTATTAAGAGCTTGGAAATTCATATTAGTGTCTGTAACTTTGTAATAAATTCTGTAAACCAAGGCTAAAGGTTGGGTTCCTGGGAGGACATTATAACCTTCAGTCTTAATGTTCAGAGTTAAAGTTCTTAGTATATGAGGATCACTAAGACTTACAGTGAAATCTGGATAACAATCAAAATGTACTGGGCCATTACATAAACTGGACTCAATTACTCCTAAGGTGCTGTCACTAAATTCAGTAAATCTAGCGTCACGCAAACAAAGAAGAATAGAAGCTTTTAATCCTAATCTGGTTAGGGGCTTAACTGCAACTTGAACTAAACCAATATGCAGAAAGTTATTACCATCATTTTTATGCTTCTTAATTGATTCAAGATTAAGCAATTGGCAGGTTTCATGTTCTTTACTCAAAGCATACACTTGTTCAACTGTTTTAACATGAGTTGTGCTATTAAAACTAGAAGGCAACCAATGTTTCTTATATATTTTTTGACTCGGGACTTTAGGTATATTCCAATCTCTAAAGTCTAATTGTTCTTTACTACTGGAATCATATTCAAATTGCTCTTCATTAACTATCTCTGGGAGTTGGCTTATACTGGTTTTAGAACTGCTCGAACTACAAGAATTTGTTCTAAATAAACGGCTCATGACTACTCAAGTGTTTGGATTTGGCTTTCTGAGGAAGAAGATAAACAGGGGCTTGCTAAACTGACTGTTTACCCTACAAGAAACTTATTAACCTCTCTTAATTTTCTGTCTCCTGCCCACCGCTCAAGCCCTCTACACTGGGGACTTACTGTTTGGAAAAAGGACTCACGGGTTAGACCTTAAAGAAAGATCAACAAATAACTCAGAGAATAAAAGGGAAGGAGAAGAAGAAACTGAAGAACCTCTACTCAGAAGCTTAAACCAGCCACCTGGGCGGGGATGAGTAGCAGACTTAGACAAAGACCGTAACTCTTACGGCTCTGATACCAAAACAAGGTAAGAAGGAGATAGTAATGGAGAGAGAGAACAATGCAACAATGCAACAAATAATACAAATAATTTTTACAGTTATCCAATAGTCTAAACACTAGTGTGAAAAACATATATATATATATATATATATGTATCTGCTTCTCAAAGAATCGTTGGTCTTCTCATACAAATGTTAGGATTTAGCAAGTAAAAGCGTTTGTTGCTCTCCATTAGGGTTTTGAGTGAAGAGCGAGAGGAGGTCTCTGCCTCTGCTCTGAGCGTTGTGGAGAAAACTTAGAAATTAGAGGCCCAGAAATTTGGAAGCCTCCGAGGGCCCAATATAAGAAATTCTGATCTCTCACATATGCAAGGGCCCAATTTATTTATTTTGTTTCTTCAATAATTATTGGGGACCTCTTTCAAAATTTATATAAGCACTAGCAAAAGTGCACGCGCGATGTTGTGAGTTTTAAACCCGTCTGAAATGTGTATAAAGTTATGAAAATATGTAGCAAGTTTAAGTTATAAAATAAAGACTAATAACATGTTTTATATGTAGAAGGATTTTGACCTTGAGGACCATTTATTAACTCTAAAACCCTTGGTTTTTTTTCATTTTTAAGTTTTATGAATTTTAAATGATTTTTTAAAAACTCCATTAGTTGATTGATGTGGCATATATGTGGAGCCCGCATCTCCAATAATATAGTGTCACGTGTATTTAAAATACAATATATTTTTTTTAAATTTTAAAAAGAAAACAAAATGTTATGAATTTTAAATTAAAAAATTAAAAAATTTCCCAGGGACTATTTGTGATAGGCGCGTGAACCTCAATGATGTTTTGTGATATATATATATATATATATGCCATGTTAGCAAACTAACGGAGTTTTTTACGGAACCTCACAGTAGGGACTATTTGTGATAACATATATTAACCTTGAGGACCACGAATGACACAATAAAAATGGTATGTGCTGTTAGAAACTCTGTTAAATTGCTGACGTGGAAGGTAAATGGCTCCACATCTCCAATAATGTCGTGACACGTGGATAAGATGAAATATATATATTTTAAAAACATTTTAAAATTAAAAAAATCATTAAATTTTTTTATAAAAAAAAATTAAGAAAAAAGTTGAAAATACTTTTTGTTCTTTCCCATCCCCCATCTGCCCCTCTCTCTACTCACCCCCTGCTATTTTCTCGCCCACCACCGCCATCCCCACCCATAACCTACGCCACAGCTGCATCCCGAACCCCACCCACAACCCCCCACCCTTCCCACT